TATGTTTTGAATATCATGAAGTAGATCTAGACTTACGGTCATATGGTGCATCGCGCCTGTGTCTAAAATCCAGAAAAATCTACTAGTCTTACCACTCAGACGATCATTAGTGGTGTTTGATCCAAAAGTTCGTTGAATAATACACCATTGTTCATCGGAGATACCGCCGAAGCCCTGTCGATCAGCATCTGTGAGAGGTGGAGTAAAAGATGAAGTCGCAGAGTTAGCAGCAACAACCTGAGTGCTGTTCGCCTTTGGTTGGAAACCATGACCACGCCCATTCGAAGTCCCGCGAGAGTTGGTTTTGCATCATGATTCATGGCCGGTACGTCCACAGGCTATACAAACACGAGAAGGATCACGATTTCCCGGAACAAAACGTGAAGCAGAGTTGTCTCGCGCCATAGTCGGAGAACTGACCTGTCAAGAAGACAATGGAATTTGAGAAGCAAAACTCATAACTTCTGCCTCTTCGATCACACCAGAACGGATTGTTTCATTCTGAACGATTGTCTGATACAAACTATCAAGATCAGGAAGCAGAGAAATTGCACAGATTGTGATCAAATTGCTCCACGAACTGGGTCATCCAAGCCAGAAAGAACGTCTTGAACCTTTAGAACTTCAAGTTCTGTGTCGCGAGAAGTGTTGAGATCACATGTGCACTTCCCACATTCACATCAATTGGAAGTAGTATACTCTGTTATGCCATCCCAAAGCTTGGTAAATCTACCAAAGTAGTCATCAACGGAGGATCCTTGTAGGTTTTCAGATCGGATGCTCTGATATTAGAGGGACCTGTATATTAGAGAAATGTATAGTTTCCATTTCTTAGATTTTCTCTTTTTGGTTATCGTATCATGTATATATTCAGACCTTTAGGTCATTCAATGTCATTGTAACTAGGTTTCAGACACACATTCAATCAACATTCTTGTCATGGTATCAGAGCTCGATCACACACTACCCAATTTAAAACTGAAATCGATCCATCCCATCTAAAGAGGCTCGATTAATCTTAATCGAAATCGGTTTTACCCCAAGTAGTCAACCAATCTTACCTAAAATTAATCTATGATAGGATATTGTTGAGATTATATAATGACTAAACAGGCCATTATCGAGGAGCGTGTGAGAATATCCCACATGTGAAGTTAAGAGAAATCTTGGATAATATATAAGAGGCTTGGATCAATCCACTCATTGCCAATTGGTTTTGAGTTGGAAACCCAGAAACTTAATCTTTCGACTTAACCCTTGCCATGATGAGTCACACAGTCGAAGAAGTGTGGTTCAGAAACCTTCTGCATAACTGAAACGATCTCATAGTCCACTGCAGATCCAAAGACGAAGATAAGGGATACTAGGTTGCATCCCTCAGGATCCTACCATTTGCTTTACAAAGGGGGATCCTACTTTGTGATCAGACGATTCTGGTGTCACCTATGGCAAGGACCTAATTTTAAGCATCTAATTTCAAGCATCACCAAGTGTTTCCTGTGTACGGTGGCAAAGGATGGACTTCTATGGAAGAAGTATGTGAAGCTAGAGAAGACGGAATCTACTTGTCCGCACGTATGCGTCGGCTGTGTTCGTGTATGGTTGGGAAGTAGAGAAGAGAAGAAACAAGTCATCGTTCAGTAGAGAAGAGCTAGAGTTGATAATTTATTTTACACTGTGTGCCATAGTGGTAATGCAATGGCTTGGTTCCTTTGTGACCCGTGTCCTGAACTCCAACGGTTCATTAAAAAAAATTAAACTTAAAAAGACAATCTTATGGGGTATTGGGACAGCTCTTGGGACAGCGGATATAGGGATTTTAATATCGTGTTTCTGGTGTGTCGAGGTAAAGAGGTTGAAGAAGAAGTGGGAGCCGACATCTTTTTTTTTTTTTGGTCAAAACTACATCGTTTTATGCAATCTCTAAACACAGCGACAAAAGTTAACAGATTAATACATTATTAAGTCGAATGTATGATTTAGCACAAAACGATAGTTTACGTATGTAATTTAATTTCTTTATTAACTTGATATAGATTTGTGCAGGTCACATAATTATAACTTACGATAATATTTGTCAGGGTTAATTAAGATCTTGACCTGTTAATGTAATAATATATTTTTCATTTTAAATTAATTATTTCAAAAAAAAAAATTAACAAATAGACAAAGTAAAAAGTAGTAAAAACAAACTGAAACTATCTTATAATAGAAAGTATATTTTTGGAATCTTAATATTCAATCAGATGAAGTGTTTATCAGATTTATGATTAATATAAATTAGTTTAGATTTTCTTAATTATAAATTATAAAACATAAATTATAAATAATTTAACGAAATTTTAATTTAGAATCTAATTATACTTATCATAAATATGCGATAATTAAATTTTCTACATATTACGTATTACGTATTACGCAGGACCGAATCTATTATATTTTAATAATAAACATAAAATAAAAAGAGCAATAACTAGATATTTATCTTTGGAACGAAATATATTTTGTATAGTTCTTTTAAAAAATTTTGTAAATGTCTTTGGAATATTTATTTCCTAGAAAAATTATATGAGGAGACATTAACCATATAATCGTAAACCAACCATATATGTGAGAGGGCAGAGTCTGCCATATGATTATAAGTGCAAAATCTGCTATAGCGCAGAGTCTGTCATAGAACATATATAAACACAACCATATTGATCATATAAAACTCTTTTTTTTTTGTATAAGAACTTGTTATAAAATTATGATCTACTGATAGATCTATATAAAGGTAACAAAGATTTTATGTTCTAATTTAAGAGAAAAATAATGAGGAAAATATATATTTTTTATTAATTATGTTTTTTGTGTATTTTTGTATATTTTCCCGTTACAACCATTATATTTATAGAAAAATAAGAAAAAAATAGTTATGACTTGTGTAATGATGATGAGGATAATATCTTTTACTACTAAGAAGATTAGTGTCTAAGAACGTATAGAAAAGACATTATAATCATTACAACCATTATATTTATTGAGAAATAAAAGAAAATTATTTATGACATGTGTAGTGGTTACGAGTATATCACCTCTTACTAATAAGAATATTAGTGTCTAAAAAAGTATAGAGAAGACATATGAGAATGTGATAGGTAATCACAACTCTTCTAAACATTTCTGAATTTTTAATATTCTATTAATTTTTATTGCCTAGAAAATAATGAATTTGGTTATAGTAGAAATATGAGAAAACTGCCAATTCGTATCCATACATTTTGCTGATGTCCAGATCCATATATGCATAAAACACACTTACACGTCAAAAGTATTTAAATAGTTGGTTGGCTTTTATTCTATTCAAATAATTTTGATGTGTGGATATGTTTTAGCACATACACAAAATACATATAAACACACTTACACGTCAAAAGTATTTAAATAGTTGGTTGATTTTTATTCTATTCAAATAATTTTGATGTGTGGATATGTTTTAGCACATACACAAAATACATATATAGATCTGAACCGCAACGAATTGTGCAGATATAAATTAGCCATTTTTAAGTATGAATAAGCCGTTTTTCCTTCGAATATTTCGACGACAATTGAAAATCAACACCATCAAATCATAAAAAGTCAGCTAATACAATATGTAAACTATTGAATATTATAAGATCATGTTGAGTAATTATAACAATATGTATCATAATTTTTTTTTTCTAAAGCCTAAAGTACATGCTATTCAAATATTAATATGTGTCATAATTCAATGCATGCAGTTTTAATATTGAGATTAATGAGGTCTTTATTAAAAAAAAAAAAAGTGATAAACAAGATAGGTCATGCAAAATCAATTATTAGATATCATTTTCTCTCACTATATAAAGATAAAAGATGTCTCGATAGACAATAAAAGAAACCAACAAAAAAATAGCTCTCCAAACTACAAGATCTATAAGACTTCAACAGTAATGAGAAACATGTGTATTGTTGATATGTGAATATCGATAAGAGGCAAAACAATATTTTAGATCGGTAAACTCGATTTTATTAGATCGAATCGAAGAAATACAATTGAGTTCGGTTATTGAATAAGGAATAACGAACTAAGACTTTATGAAACTAAGAATCTAAAATGATGAGTTCTCAGTCTCTAAGTCTTCTCTGGAATATCTTGTGTTCTTTGGAGTCGATTGATCTTCCTTTATATATCCTCTGAGTCGGTCATCGAGTGCATCTTCGGCGATATGGGACCGAGAGGACTTTCTTTTTCTCTCAGTCCTTTTCCTTTTCTCATACAAGTTTCCTTTTTCCATTAGGAAACTTTCCTATTCTTGACTGAACTCGGGAAACTTCTCGGTTCCTTCGAGAAGCTTCTCGCCGACCTTGACTTAATGGGCTGCGTTCGACCCAGGACTTCACTCGGCCCAGTCTTCCCGGTACCTTCCTTCGTGAACCGGGCTTACGTTACGCCGATCTCGGTTTGTACCGGAGAAAACCAGGGTGCGGTTTTCACCTCCAACAGTTAGCCCCACCCCTCTCAGTTCGATGAAAGAAATTGGCTTTTAGTCGAACTCGTTTGTTTCAACTCTAAAAGTAGGTCACAAACCGAGCTCGGTAACTGCAATCGATTCGCATTCCCGTACGTTTCGCACCCTGTCTTCAATGAGGCGCGTGAATTCCGAGATTTCGCGAAAATCGAGGAACCACAATTCCCACTGTTTATAAGGGAATTTCTCCTTCTTCGCATTCATTATTCTCGCTCAAGCATATATAAGGTACGCTGCTCTCCCTTCTCTCTAGATTTTGTTTCTCTCTCTAGTTTTCGTTTGTAGTTCTCTCTCGTTTCTTCAACTTCTACCGCCGCAAAACCCTCGATTTTTCCGATCAGTCTTCAAATTTCCCATTCGATCTTCAAATTTTCCGATCAGTCTTCAATCTTTTCCGGTTGATCTTCAAACTGTTCTTCGTTCTTCTTAGATCTCCTTCGATTCTACCTTTCCGAACTTAAAATGTCTTCCAGCTCTTCAATCAACTCCTCTTCTAACCAGATCTTGCCGGAAGATCGTCGCGAGTCTTCCGAACCGAGCTCTTCCTCTTCAAACCCTCATTCAACAAACTCCTCCAACAAGGAGACTAATCCTCCTCAGTTGATTCGTAAAAACTCCAGATCGGTCAGCGCGAGCAGTAGCCGATCTCGACCGCGAGTTGAGGCTACCGAACATCTGGCTACAGAGACTCGCGAAACGGGAGCTCGAACTGGGCCGAACACCGATGGTATCGATCACGAGATCGAGGAGGTCGAGGAGCTTGAAGAAGATAATCCTGAGGAAAACGCTACCGAAGCAGGAGTCGCCGAGGATAATCTCGAAGCAGTGAACCATGCTTCGCCACCACTTCCGAGGCGAAAAGTCGTTCGTCCCCATAACGTGCCATCTTCTTCCGTCTCCCCGAACGCCGTTCATGCCGTACTCGAAAAACACGGGCTTTCAGACAAAGTTATCTTCATAGTACTGGAAGCTGGAGATCGGCCATGGGACGTTCCCGAAGGCTTCCTTTGCATTTATCTGTCATACTTCACGCAGTGCGGGCTCACCCTTCCGATTCCTTCTCGTCTGCTTGGCTACTGCAATCGACGTGGCGTAGCTCTCACGCAGGTGATGCCAGCCTCAATAACAAACTACGTAGGGTTCATTACTTTATGCGACGAGCTCGGCGAAATCCCAACCAGTCGGCTTTTTGAAGACCTCTTCTCGGTTAATATCCACAAGTCCAAGGAGTGGTTCTTTGCGGCAAACGCCAAGCCGAAAAAGAACATCGTCACTGGGGTCAAACCTAGTAAATACAACGACTGGGAATCCCAGTACTTCTGACATCCCGACTGTGAGATGAACGAACGATCTCACAGTCAGCAATTCTGACATCCTGACTCAATCGGAGTGGAAGATTCCGATCGGTAGATCTAGATGATCTTGTACTTAGTCGTTTTTCTTATTAACTTTGTATCTTGCTAATTCTCCTCTGATTAATCTTTGCAGGTCGTCATCTCCCGAGCATTATTCTCAACTCCGGACTCACCTCCGAATTCGAAGCAGCTTTCAGCGAAGCCGGTAAACGTCGTTGGCCTGAAGTGTGGGAAGAGATTCTTCAGTGCCGAGCTAAGAAAGCAGGTTCGACTATTGAGTTCAGTTTTATTTGTTTTATTCTGAGTTTACTCCGAACTCCCTTTTGATATGATTCCCTTGCAGCCTCTGTCAAAGAACCGAAACCGCGGAAGCCAAAAGCTCGAGCTAACAAGCCCCGAGCTTCTCCAAGACAAAAGGCGCCTAAATCGCGAGCCAAACGAACCCGAACTGCCAGGATGCTTTCACTGGACGAGATCCCCACTCTTTTTGACGAGGAGGAACAGAATGACGCGACTCCGAACCCCGTTCCTGCTACCGAAGAGGTTAGGGAACAACCTGAAGAACTGCCGCTCGCTGCGAACTCACCTGACCACGCTGGTCAGAAAAAGCTGAAGAAGAAAAAGTCCTCGAAGAAGACTAAGAGGATTGAAGACTCTTCTCGGGCACAAGATGCTCCCGCTGAGCTCGACCAACCGACGGCTGTGGCGTCGGACCTCGCTCTTTCTCAAGATCGAGCTGAGGCTTCTCATTCTCGAAAGAGACAAGCTGGAGACCGCGCCGAGGGTTCTCCAGAGCCAGAGCCAGCGAAGAGGGCGAAGGTCTGCTTCGATTATGACGAGGAAACTCCCTTCGAGGAAAATGTCGATGCTTGTGTCGACCTCTATCACAAGATTTCTTCTGAGGTTCCAAGTCTCTCGGCGATCTCCGAGCTCTGGTTCCCAAACTTGTACAAGGGGATTGCTCGCAAAACTGCCGTGGTACTTCCTCTATTTCTTTTCTTTATTTTAATATTTTTTCTAAGTACGAGCTCTAAGCCATGCTTCACTTTGTGCAGCTCGCCAGTCAGACCAACAACTTGGTCGCGGCGTATGAGGTCGCGCTATATGATGAGCAAGTTAGAGTTGCCGAGCTTGAGGAGAGGGTCTCCAAAGCGGAAGAGCGTCTTGCCACCGAGCTCCAAATCAACGACACTCTCCACTCCTCGGTTTATCTGCTGAAGCAAGAGAGTGCAGAGCTGAAAGCGGTGAGAAAAGAGCTGACCGAGGCTCAAAGCATGCTTGCTCAAGAGTTGGAGAAAGACCAGGAGCGGTTGCGGGCCTTGGTGACTCACTGGAAGGGTCGAGCTAAGAGCGTTCACGCAAAGGCTTGCGAACGTTTGGAGAAGGTGATCCGCAGCTTGGATGATGCAGATCGAGCCTGCAAGCCCTACTTGGTGGTCAACCAGCTTACTGGAGTTCTCGGCTCATTAAGCAGCTGAAGAAGAAAGGTTTGTACGAGGTCCCGCCGAAGATGGTAGCCGACATCGAGGCGAAGCACGCTAAGGCGTTGGAGGACTTTCGTTCAATCGATGCTTGCGTTCTCACCGAGGAGGATAAGCGGATGTCTCCTTTCCCGGACGAAGATGATGTCCCGATTGCAAACGTGACTCAGAGTGCGCAAAATCCATTGAGGGGCGAGCTGTTTGGCTCGAACGAAGATATGCTCAATGTCGATCAGGCTGCGACTTCCAAGACGGCTTAGTCTTTTTTCGTTTTCTTCTCTTACCCGAACTTACTTGCCCTTTCATGGGTTTATTTTATATGTTTTATTTGTGAACCCTCGGTGGGTTCTTGAACTTATTATTTTTTTGCATGATTTTATAATATGTCTTTTTCGTTCTTTTTGATAGTATTTAATTTTTCCTTAAATTTTTTCTCAAGTAGTAGATCGATATGCAATCTGAACTCGACTTTATTTGATCGGTAGCGATTTGTGATAACACCTAAGTAGTAGATCGGCAACTAGTAGGTGATATTTGAACATAATTTTATCTTTTGGTAGCGAATTGCGATAATTCGGCTTACGTTTTGCGAGTGTTGAGAACTCGGCTTACGGCGCGAATCTGAGGAGTTCGGCTTATTGTGCGAGCATTTGAGCTCGGCTTGGGGAACCCAAGTGAATCGTGTCGTACTGGAAGAGTGAATTAATTCGAACTCTTGTAAGCGCACGAAACGAGTTCAAGGTTTTTCTAAGTCGAACCTAAGTATGCGAGATGTGCTCGGCTTATTGTTCTTGGTGACTTAGAAATTTAACTGTGAGACTGGCCCCGGCTTTTGATATGTGGTTTTACCACGGCACCATGTGGGTGCTCGCGAGACGGATCTCGGCTTTTTAAGTTTGCATTCATGTGGAATGCTATCGAACAACTGGCCAGGAAGTCGATGGAAGAACAAGGAGTTCGGTATCTTGTGATTTCCGAACTAGAACTTAGACGTTTTTGACTTAATAAAACTTTACTGATGTTATAGCTGGATTCGGTAACGAGCTGCCTACGTACCCTTTTAAAGGGATCAATCCATTCGTAGTTCGGAGGGTTTAGTTCGGAGCTGCCTAAGTACAAAAGTGTCTTTTGCTCCGACTAAGTAGTTCGGAGGCTTTATTTTTTTTTTTGAAGCTTGTAACGAACTAGTAGTAGTATCTTTTGAGATGCATTGAGTTCCAAGATCGCGGGATCAGAGTTTTGTCTAACTTCATCAGTTGATAAACGCCGGTCTTAACAACCTTCATCACTTGGTATGGGCCTTCCCAGTTCGCGCCGAGTTTTCCTGCGTTCTTTTCTTCTGTGTTTTGATAGACTTTGCGAAGTACGAGATCGCCATCTTCAAAGTGACGGCCTTTAACCTTCTTGTTATAGTAACGAGCTGCCAGTTGTTGGTAGTTTTGTATCTGGAGTATTGCTCGTTCGCGGTGTTCTTCGACTAAGTCGATTGTGTCGAGCATCATGTCGTTATTCGCGTCGGGTTGCTGGGTGAGCATGGTTCGGCGAATACTTGGGACGTTGAGTTCGGCTGGACACATAGCTTCTGTACCATATGCAAGGAAGAATGGTGATTGACCGGTCGAACGTCGTGGTGTAGTTCGGTGAGACCACAAGACACCATCGAGTTCGTCCGCCTAAGTTCCCTTAGCGGTATCAAGTCGCTTCTTCAGACCATCGATAATGGTTTTGTTCGTGGCTTCAGCTTGCCCGTTTCCTTGTGGGTATCGCGGGGTAGAGAAACTTAGTCTGATTTTCCACTTGGCGCAAAAATCGGTGAAAATTATCGAAGTGAATTGGGTTCCGTTGTCCGTAACGATCTCGTACGGGACTCCGTGTCGGCAGATGATAAATTTCCAGACGAACTTCTTGACATCGATTCCATGAATCTCGGGGTATGCCTCGGCTTCGACCCATTTGGTGAAGTAGTACGTGACGACCAAAACGTATTGCTTCTGAGTCGTAGATCGGCGAAAAGGACCGATGATGTCCATTGCCCAGCGCATGAAAGGGTATGGTGCGGTCGAAGTCATCAAGAGCTCGGTAGGAAGGTTGATCATCGGGCCATGAAGTTGGCATTTCTCGCAGCGTGCTGTATACTTTTCGCAGTCGGAAAACATGGTAGGCCAGTAATAGCCAGCTTTTTTGATCTTGAATGCCAAAGACCGAGCTCCGGAGTGATTCTCTCCTTCTCCTTCATGTACTTTCTGCATTACTTCCATGATGTCGTTGCCGTGAACGCAAGTCAAGAGTACACCGGATGCATCCCATCTGAGAAGAGTGCCCTTAATGACCACGTATCGAGCTGCACAAGCCTTAAGGCGCCGAGCTGCCCATTTATCTGCGGGGACCGTTCCATCTCCAATGTAGCCCATAATTTCTAAGGTCCAATCTTCAGGCTCATCTTCACCTTCGGCTTCGATATCGATTGGAACGTGTTGACCTTCAGACTCGTCTTCGAGATCGGATTCGTTATCGGGTTGTTCGTCCATGTTGGTGTTGAGATCGGTGACGACCTCTCTGGGTTTCGTCTTCCGGGTGAAGGGTGGAGCGAGATTGGGTTGGGCTTCGTAATCACGGCGTCTTGTAATGATGTTGCAGTTCGGACCAGGCTCGATACTTGGTCATTCAATTGCTGCAATTGGGATAGTTCGCCGAAGATCAAGATCAGAATTAGCCGCGAGAGCAGCTAAGGCGTCGGCGGTTGCGTTCTCATCACGAGGTATCTTTGTAAGCTCGAAGGTTGAGAACTCCGAAGCAATATCCTTAAGGACTTTGAGGAACGCGTCCATGCTATCGTTCTTGGCCTCGTATTCGCCGTGAAATTGGTTAGCCACAAGTTGAGAGTCGCAGTAGGCGTGTACGTGTTCAGTGCCGATACTTTTAGCAAGTCGTAGCCCAGCAATCAATGCTTTGTATTCGGCTTCATTGTTTGACGCCGGGAAGCCAAGGCGGAATGATTGTTCGATAACCTCTCCTTCGGGGGATTTGAGACGAATCCCGACGCCGGATCCTTTATGGGATGAGGAGCCATCGGCGTGGAGAATCGAAGGTTGTATGACAGGATTAGCTTCGACGAGCTCAGGTGGGAGCTCGACCAAGAAATCCGCCAGGACTTGAGTCTTTGTTGCAGTTCTTCCTCGGTATTCAATGTCATACTCGCTAAGTTCAATGGCCCACTTAGCGAGTCGTCCGGATTGACTTGGACTATGGAGGAAAGTGCGAGGAGGGTAGTCGGTTAGGACAACGATCGAGTGAGATTGGAAATACGGGCGTAACTTCCTCGCGGAAATAACCACGGCAAAGGAGAATTTCTCCAAGGTCGGGTAACGATACTCTGACCCATCAAGGGATTTGCTTGTGTAGAAAATTGGCTTCTGCTCGCCACGATCTTCTCGAACAAGAACACTGCTGACCGCGTATTCCGAAATTGCGATGTAGAGGTAAAGTGTCTCGCCGGTTTCTGGTTTGGATAAGACTGGTGGCGTAGAGAAGTATTTCTTAAGCTCGGCAAAGGCTTCTTCGCACTTCTCATTCCATTCGAGATGTTTGTTACCGCGAAGAAGTTGATAGGACGGCAAGCACTTGTCTGTCGACCTGGATATAAACCGATTAAGTGCCGCAATGCGTCCGGTCAACCGCTGAACCTCACATTTGGTCGTCGGAGATGGGAGCTCGAGTATAGCAGCAATCTGTTTCGGGTTAGCTTCAATGCCTCGCCGTGTGACTATGTATCCGAGGAACTCTCTAGACGTTACACCGAACGTGCACTTAGTGGGATTAAGCTTCATGCCATACTGGTCTAAAATATCGAAGCATGTGCGAAGATGACCAACGTGATCGGAAGCGACGAGTGATTTTACGAGCATATCGTCAATGTAAACTTCCATAGTTCGCCTGAGCTGGCTTGCAAAAATCCGGTTCACCAGTCGTTGGTACATTGCTCCAGCATTCTTCAGACCAAAGGGCATGACCTTATAGCAGTATATGCCGCGGTCCGTGATGAACGATGTCTTTTCCCGATCTTGCGGATGCATAAGAATCTGATTATATCCGGAGAATGCGTCCATAAACGAGAGTAGTTCGTTTCCGGCAGTTGCTTCCACAAGGCGGTCGATATGAGGCAAAGGAAAACTATCTTTCGGACATGCCTTATTGAGATTGGTAAAGTCGACGCAGATCCTCCATTTACTATTCTTCTTCTTGACGACTCAGGGGTTTGCTAACCAATCAGGATATTTAACTTCGGTGATGGATCCTGCTTTGAGCAACTGCTCGACCTCATCGTTGACGGCTTGTGCCTTCTCTGGTCCGAGCTTTCGGCGTTTCTGCTTGATTGGCTTATACGTCGGATCGATGTTGAGCTCATGACACGCGATATGTGGATCGATCCCGGGAATATATTCTACCGACCATGCGAAGGTTGAGGAATGCTGTTTCAGAAAGTGAATGAGTGGATCACGAATGCTTGAGTCGAGTTCGGCACCGATTCCGACTTGACGTTCTGGCCTTAGTTCGTCGATGCAAACTTGAACGATCGACTCCTGCTTAGGCTTTGTCTGCTGGACGACGAGCTCGTTCGTCGGTCCTAACGAACTGATGACACAAGCTTGGTTGGCCGAGCGGAGTTTGCACTCGTTTATGTAACATGATCGAGCGACGACTTGGTTTCCTCGAAGAGTGTAGACACCGTCAGGAGTTGGGAACTTCATGCATTGATGGTATGTTGAGGCAACCGCCTTCATTGCGTGTAACCAAGGTGTACCGAGAATGGCGTTGTAGATTGCCGGTTTGTCGAGGATGAGGAACTGGATAATCTTTGCGACTCCACCAAGGTAGATCGGGATGTTGACCATGCCGACCGTCATGCAGCGTTCTCCGTCGAAACCTGTAAGTGGCTCGATAAAAGGTTTAATCTTTTCTGACGGTAAATCGAGCTGGTCAAGTGCTTCCTTGAAGATAATGTTGACCGAAGTGCCTGTGTCGACCAGAATGCGACTAACTTCGACGTCGTCGAGAAGCAGTTCGACGACGAGGGCATCGTTGTGTGGTTTATGCAGCCCGATTGTGTCCGCCTCGGTAAATACCAAAGGCGTTCCCTTCGGCGGATCGTGCGGGACTTTGGGCGCGCTGGCGGCCTGTCTACTGTATTCTTTGATAGCTCGAACCGAGTAGCTGCAAGCTTCGATAGCTCCCATTATCATGTTGACGCGTTTCCTTGCTTAGGGAGCATGGTTTTCTGGTGCTCGGTCGTCTCGATTGCGTTTCTGTTGTTCGGGCAATGCAGGTGGATTCGGTGGCAGTGGTGGTAGTGCCGGTAAAGCTGGTAACGTCGGTAAAGCCAGTGGAGTTGGTGGATCCTTGGCGATGGCGTTCTCGAGGCATGTTTGAACGACGGAGGTCGTCAATCGAGATTTGCCCACCATTCCTAAGCGTGTTTGAGCGACAGAGATCGTCAACCGATATTGGCCCCTTTCGATATTCGCCGAGTAGATATTCTCGCAGGTATCTGCATTCTTCGGTGCTATGTCCTCTACGGTTGTGGAATTCGCAGAACAAGGACTCATTCTGGTCTTCTTCACCACGGACCCATTTATTGTTTCATTGTTTGGTTGGTTGCTGAATCGCATTAGCGTAGAACTTCTTACGATTCTCGTACCCCCTGCTGTATCCTGTTGTGGTTCGTTAGTCGTCGCTTTCGAACGTTCGGGTTGCTTTGTCGAATAACTTTGCTCATAAGCGGCCTCTTCTTCTTCTTCGGCGATGTAAGTATTAGCTCGGTGTAGTGCGTCCTCTAACGTCTGTGGAGGGTTGTGCGTGATTGCGCATCGGAAGCTAGTCTTTATCCGAGCTCCTTTCTGAAGGCATAAGAGGGCGGCTTCATCGCTGATCGTACAATTAGCGACAATCGTCTTAAAGCGCTGGATGAAATCGCGAAGGCTCTCACTTGCTCCTTGGGCTATTTGCCAGAGTTCGGAGTTCTTGGTGTTCTGCCCGATGAACATGGAGAAGTGTTTCACGAAGGCCGTCGTCAACTCCTTATAGTTATCGATTGAGTTGGTCTCGAGTTACGAGAACCAGTCGAGAGCTACTCCTCCCAGACTTTCCACAAACAGTTGGCACTGAACTGCATCTCTCTCCTCGGCGGATTTGAACTGGTATCGATTCATGCAGATGCCGAATGATGTCAAAAAGTGCCGGGGGTCGGTATTGCCTTCATAGATTTTTATCTTCAGTTTCTCCATGTGTTTGACCGGCTTTCCTGCTATGCGCGGTGTGAAGTGTGTTTTCTGTGTTTCCTGAATGACGCGCTCGATCTCCGGAGCCGCGCTTGTTACTTGATGTATTTTCGAAGTGATCTCGGAAAGTTGCGCCTTCATTGCTTCGAACTCGGCGTCTCGGCTTAAATCTGATGCTGGTGCATTCGCTGATCTGACTGCGGTAGTCCTCATGGTTCCGGCTGGATCTCCGTCAGTATTGAGATCGTCAATGATGTTCTGAACTCGAAGAGGAGTTCGTGCTTGACTGAGCTCGGCGATTTGCGCTGCCATTTGACTGAAACGTTCCTCGCTCCTTTTGTTAATGGCCTCAAATTGGGCGTTGAACACTTGGAGCAGCAATTCAGTTCCAAAACCTCCTACGGCTGCGGGGGTTTGGCCGGCTTCAGTCCCGGCGTTTTCCCCAGGAATTCTTCCTCCCTGCTATGCTGGGTTTCGGACGTTAGCGTTCTCTCCACCGAGAGGGTTTCCTTCCTCGTGAATGTTGGCTTGATCCGTCATTGCCGATTCGATCTATCCGAAGTCCGATATAAAACCGAAAATTCTGTTTAGTCCCCTTACCTGGCGCGCCAATTGTTGATATGTGAATATCGACAAGGGGCAAAACAGTATTTTAGATCGGTAAACTCGGTTTTATTAGTCGAATCGAAGAAATACAACTGAGTTAGGTTATTGAGTAAGGAATAACGAACTAAGACTTTATGAAACTAAGAATCGAAAATGATGAGTTCTCAGTCTCTAAGTCTTCTCTGGAATATCTTGTGTTCTCTGGAGTCGATTCCTCTTCCTTTATATATATCCTCTGAGTCGGTCATCGAGTCCATCTTCGGCGATATGGGACCGAGAGGACTTTCCTTTTCTCTCGGTCGTTTTCCTTTTCTCATACAAGTTTCCTTTTTCCATTAGGAAACTTTCCTATTCTTGACCGAACTCGGGGAACTTCTCGGTTCTTTCGAGAAGCTTCTCGCCGACCTTGACTTAATGGGCTGCGTTCGGCCCAGGACTTCACTCGGACCAGTCTTTCCGGTACATTTCTTCGTGAACCGGGCTTATGTTACACCGATTTTGGTTTGTACCGGAGAAAATCGGGGTGCGGTTTTCACTTCCAACATGTATAAAGCCGAGAAGGGAAAGTAGCAATTGCAAAAGCTCGGTGCGTGACGGAAGGATGTTCCGATATGATCCTTCTAGCTACTCTATGAATTACGATGATGGAAGACGAGAAGAAAATAATGGGGTTTCTCCGAGATTTTAACCTCCAGCTCAATCTAATAATCTTCTGGAGAGATAAGAGATGAAAGGAAGGTGGTTCAGAAAATTATAGGTGTAATCTTTGGCTCTAATATTAAAACATAAAATATAGTTTTAAGTATTATAGCAAAAAGATATTATTAACTGTAAATGTAAACACCATATGCAAATATATATTGTAAGAAAATACTTAGCCAATTTTTGTTCTTATGTTATTCACATAAACCGCTAAAAACAATTTGTGTTTTAACATTTGAACTACGGAATTTTGTATTTCGACTGTAAATGTTTTTGCTATGGATGGATAAACACTCAAACAAGTGTTAATCTCAAAATTCCAGAGTTCAAATGATCATGGCCCAAATATTTTAAAATTTTCATATATATGTTGGTTAAAAATAGATTAAAGGGTCAATCTCAAAAAAAATTTAAGGGCCCTGTTGAAAGTTTTCTTGTTTTATGTATTAAGGAAGGGCCAAAATTGTATAATATGCACTGGGATTCCAAATTTATTGAGCCTCCCCTACTCATAATTAAGCTTACATCAAACCATCTTATATGAGTCAGTGAAACCTCTCTAGATAAGGTTTCTATCAAAGGGGAGTTTTCTAGCTTGTGTCTTTTCCTATCTCGATTAAAATTTTGTAATCTGGGTTTCATACCACAATATTGTTAAACTGTTTCGCCAAAAAAAACATCATATAAGCTTGGCTGTTGCTTTGTTTTCTTCCTATTTTTCCCTCTATAAGTTTTGACTGAAATGGATTCTTTTCCGCAGATATATGGCAAGGATACTTATAAAGTTTTATATAAGGATTTGGAAGAAATGTCTACAGAAAAACAGTATTATGACAAGTGTCTGTCCATAGTGGTTCATACTTTGCAGTCGTTTAAAGAAGTTATCAGAGAACTTATGGGTTAGAAAGTGTACAGTAATCAACTATTAGGAAAATCTGGTGAATCAAAGTACCTTTTCCATACTCCTGACGAAGCATCCAGAAATTGCGTACTTCAATATGGATTATGGAATGTTGACGATTGTCTGATGTTTGTTGCAATGTTGTTTCATAGATTCCAGAAGTAACACAAGCTATTCTTGAGATCAAACCAGTTCTAGTTTGGGTAACCTTGAAAAAATAAGTATCTAACATTTCTCACTCAATTCCGGAAACAAACCACATAACTTCTGGATATGTGCTCTAATGGCAACTCACACGCCCCATCTAGACCTAAATTTCATGGGAGAAGCCAAGATTTTGGTAAAGGCTGAGTTAAGCAAAGCTTTTCCCATCTAGCATTATATCAATGGTGGATCACTACAAGCAAAGAAAACAGCTGATCAAAAACAATAGCTAATCAGTCGCTAAACCAGTATTTACGACTGATTTACGACTAAATAATTTAGTCATAAATATTTCTTTGCAAATTGTGACTGATTTGCAACTAATTTGTGTGTATTGTTTGTGTACGTAGAATATGTCGTAATTCAGTCATAACTTTTAACTGAATATATTTAAAACCATTTAGCGACTGTTTCATAGTCTTAGTGAAGTCGTTAACAAGTAGAACCAAATCAGTTGCTACATTTAACGACTATTTTACGATTGTTTGGTGAATCTATTAGCGACTACAGAGCGACTGATTAGCACTGATTAGATTTTTTGAATGGTAATTTGTTACGAGTTTACGACTACTTTGCGACTAAGTTACAACTGAATTATGACTGCATTGCAATTCTGATCAGTGGAATTATAATTTGGTATTATTTTTGATCATTTTAATTTGGTAATATGAATCCAATTTTGATTTTAATGAAGAAGTAAATTGAAAATGAACTTATTTGAATGTAAAAGCATAGGAAACAATAATTTACGTAATTATTATATTTTTCACAAAAATAAGAAACTCAAATGGTTACATTACTATAAACAACCATTGGAGATAAGTTAAAAATGAGGCTAAAACTATGAGAGACCTAGAGGAACCTATGGTTCTTAGAGCATGAACATCGCGGTATGTTCAGCATCTCTTGTGATTAAAAAATATATTTTTTAATATAAATGGGTCTCTGATTTTGCTACAGACGTCTCTTAAATTAAAACTGTATGAGACGGTCTTCGATGACAAATGAAAGACTGTGATTGGCCATTCAATTTGGGGGAAAATTCTTTTTTTCCCTCCTTCCTAATTTTCCTCCGACACAATTTTCCTTCCTTCCTAGTTTTCTTTCCTTCCTATTTTTTTTAAACAACCCCAAAGGATCTCTACAATGTTCAATCAAAATACATGGATCTCTTATATGGATCTTAAACCAAACTTTATTATTAAAAAACTACTTAAGATACCCTAATGGGTCTCTGAAATGTTCATGGTCTTAGGTTGGAGAAGCAGTTGGATTCACTGATGGGACCAGATCAGTAGTTTTTAGAAAGGAATACTTCGGATCAGCAGCGATTTTCTGAATAGAATGAGCAGCCAAAAAGTCCAAGAACATTGGATCAGTGTCAGTCATATACCTTTTGACTCAGAGCTTCAATGTTGACACTGTGCGTTCTGGAAAATATGGATCATCAGCGGTGGATAATCCCTCACACGCGGTGAAGGTGGGTAGGTGGGGACAAGCGGTGGTGAAGATTGGTTTGCTGTCGCAAGAATGAAATCATAGCAACTAGGCA